ATCCGATCGTTAATCGATCATAGATGGCAGTAAATTATAGTTCTAGGAACCTTAAACGGGCGTGAAAGGTGTTCGTTATTCAAACACGTACGAATATAAAAATCTTTGGCGAAAGTGTTTGTTGTTCAACTTGTTCGTTAACTGATCACTGTACAATGTTTGTCCATTTTTTTTTTTTTTTTTTTGGACATCAATGTCTGCGATGGAAATTTCGTGCTTTGATTGTCAGTAGTTTTAGCGCTAAAGCTCTTAACGATTGCAGTATCAATGCGTTTTTCAGTCATAAATGGAACTACTAGTTGGAATCTATCTTCGAAAAGATGACACCCACGTGTGGAAACCCACACGTGGAGACTTGCTGATAATTGTCCCAAATCCAATCCCACGCTTTTCTAAACCGGTAGTCGAGCCCTAGCCGCAAAATTCATCGTTCTCTCACGTCGCAAAAACAGAACAACAACAACAACAACAACAACTAAATTCGCAGAAATTGCTTCGTTTTAGACCCCCCCCCTCCTCCCTCCCTCCCTCCCTCCCCTAAGCTAGCCTACTCAATTTGTCGTTTGTTCGAAACGACCCAGCGAAAGAGGACGAAACCAGGCGAAACCGATCGATTTGGCAAAATTTTTCGCTGTTCGAAGGAAGAATGCGCGCGTTAATGAAGCAGCTGAACGTGGATTTGACGCGAGGGTATTCGCCTAGGCCCGATAAAGGCGTATCAGCCGTTGAACAAAGCGTCCGCGATGACACGGGCAAGTGTGAATCCTGTTGCCTGCGGCAACAATTTTCATTCTTCAGCGGCGCGACTGTTTCTAGCTGGGGACGGAGGATTTCTAGCAACTAGGATTGGACAGATAAAGGGAGGAATCGTCGCCTTTTTCAACCGGATATTACGTAACCGTGTCGCTTTCGCAGAAATGACGACAAAAGAAAGGAAAGGATCTCGCGGCCGAGCCCGCAGCCCGTTGCTCTGCCACCAGTCTGAACGGCCTGCTCCATTTTCAACGATCAATCCGCAGGGCACGTTGAACAGAGACGTTTTATCGCGAGGGGAATTAATCGGCGTCGTTAAATGCTGGCTACGTTCACGCTGCGACGACGTTCGACTCAGCGGCGCACCGTGTTAGCGGTGCAACCTGTTAGCCATTATCCCACGCCCGTTGCGCCGAGTCACGTCCCATAAGTCCACGGTAATTGACTTTGGATAATGGTTAATAACGATCCCAACTAAGTTGGTAGACCGCTATCGAACATCTTTTCACCCAGCTTGGATCTCTGACTAACGAATACGGAATTGCTCGTAATACGCTGCATTTTTCAACTTTTGTTCGTAAAAAAAAAAAATTTCAATCAGTCAGTGCTAGGAATATAATATAAATATAAATATAATACAATATAAATTATGTATAATATGTACACATGTGGATGGATGCGCGACATCTACTGTCTTGGTATTAAACTATTTGCCTTGTGTGTATATGTGTGTATGTGTGTATATGAACCGCGTTAAGAAGGTCTAGAAGAACAGTTGTATCGTACAGATCTCAGATTGCTCTAGTTATAAAAAACCGAATATCTGTATTTCATAAAATGAAACAACCTAACATCAAATCGCAACGGTCAATTTGAAGAAGAGAGAAACCTTCTCTCTACCTGGAGTGTGAAAATAAAATGAGACACATATTTATATTTCACGAAAACGTTCGGAGCCGAAGCAATCAGCGAGTCGCAGCTCCGACTCGGAGGGAAACGACCGTCACCCAGATTCCAGCGAGGCGAATCAATTAATTCCCGCATTGTGGGTCCAGGATAGGCCTGATAGGACGATACTTGTTTCAGAAGGGCGGCGATACGCCGCGCGGACAGTTCTTCCCCCCTAATTGTTTTGAGCAGCGCGTCAGTTTTGTTTTGTCTCGTCTCAAAGGCGACACGGTGACACGCGACTAACTTTGTTGACGCACGAGGGGCGGCGCGTTTGCGTTTGCCGCGCTGATAAACGCGTTTGCCAGCCTATTTTCTCGCTCGGCGAGCTTTTTTTAGACCGCCCCTGGTGGGGTGCGTGTATCACACCCGGGAGATCTACCGGCGATGTAGCCAGCCCCCGGAAACGGGCGAAATACGAGAGAGAAACCGTGCGTCGAAGGGGGAGATCTCGAACGCAACCCCCGCGGTGAACGACCGCGGAAATGAATATTAATAATTTTTAATTCTCCTTCGTTGTTCCGTGCCCCTGTCTGCGATGATTTACAAATTTGCAGATTTATCGGGGACGCTTGATGATGGACAGCGATATCGTTGAATTTTCGGAGGGAAGTTGGAAAGAACGTTGCTTGGCGAGGGCTGAAAATAGCGGTGGATAGGGTGAAAGAAGTTGCAATTCCGATCGACGTTCGGTTTAGAAGCGATTGTAGTGGGTAAAAGTGAAATTGCAACGCAAATGGGATAATTCTTTCCTACGAACACACAGGCAGTTTCCTACGACCGAAGTTGGAAACGTTTCTTCAAATGATGATTTGCTTTTCAGATCGTTCGAACGTCTAAGTTTAAAGAATCGTCGACTATAAATTGATAATACGATCGTCATCGTCTGTAGCAAGAACGACTTAAGAAATTGCTTTCGCAACAAAAATTCGTGGAACGGCGACTTAACGGAGAACGAAAGCGTGGCCGCGCGCAGACAATAACTGTTTCTTCCCTCTGCTTAAAGCCACAGGTATGGTAAATAATTTCCAATACTCTTCGATAAAACCTCGTCATCGAGGCAAGAAGGCAAATCTTCTCGGACTTACTCTTGCGCGAAGAGATGTTCAGTTGTATTAAAAATTTTATCCTTATCTTATGCGTAATTCGGCGGTCAAGGGGTTGCATCAGAGAAGATTGCACCACGAGAAATAAAAACAAAGAAAAAAAAAAAAAAGGAAAGGAATAAAAGACGAAGTTTCTCGACTTGCAAAGTTTCACAGAGAGAACAGGGATAAATCTCGCGTGAAAAAGATTCGCGAGAGGCGATTATTAGAGACCGTGAGTCGTTCGCTTCCGAGCGAAACGAATCTCATTCATGCGAGTGAGAATCGGTGGGAAAGATCCTACAGAATCGTGTGCCGCCGAATCGATCGTTCCCGATTTAAACGGAAGCTCGTCTCTCTCTCTCTCTCTTTCTCTCTTTCTCTCTTTTTTCTTTCCTCTCCCCCTTTTCTTTTTTCTCCCTGTTTCTCTAGCTAGGGAAACGCGCCCCGATCTTTCGAGGCGTCCCGATTTCGCGAATCTTCCCGTTCGGGGGACGCACGGGCAACTGCGTCCCTCGAACGTAACACTCGCATCGCCGGCGACTGGAAAAAAGGCGCGAATCAATAGCCGGTATTTATAAACGCGTCGTTCTGAAAGAAAAATTCGTGGAAAATTGATGAGGCAGACACGCGAGGGCGCAGCTCGCTTCACGGAGGGTGGAAGCTTGGCTCCGCGGCCAAAATTAAACTACGAATGGCAAGTTCCGCCTTCCAGTCATCGGTTTTTGCCTTCGAATGATCGTTAGCTTCGCCAGCGTCAAACAGTTCAAGAGGCGTTCGAGAGCTGGCGTACACTCCGGCGTTCCACCCGGATAGGATCGAGGATCGTATTATAACCATACAGACAAACGGCATTAGACGCGGTTCTCCGAAATAACCGTCGATACTTGGATAGAATGAAATTTAGGGGAACACGTTTAGACTCGTCGTACGCCGCGTACACGCGACCAGATATACTGAAAAGTTAAGAATGATGGCTCTGGAATGTTTGATTTTCGTTAAGCTCGGAGCTCTCAGAGAGAGAGTTCTTTTTAGTTTCGCTTGGGTAATTTCTAGTTTCACGCGCCGGTTCGTTTTTTTATCTCTGGTTGGACACGCGTTGGTGAGAGCTTTGAAATTTGTTAAATTAATTAAAGAGTCGTAAATTTACACGTTTTGCTTTCAATATCGTTCGAATCAATCTGAAATTTAATCGTGAATGTCTTAAAAATTACCCGCAAGTGAATGAAAATGAAAAATATGGGTAAGAGAGAAGATATGGTTGACTTACGCTACTTAAATGCAAGAAGCAACGTGAGCAGTAAGGGGAATAAATCAAATATGGTCAGACATCTCTGAAGCCAACGCATCGATATAGAACTCGTAAGATGTTCTTTCCATTGCGATTGAAAACATCTCACAGGGTAGAATTTAAACAGCTGTTGGTAATTTTTAACTCTGAGAAAAAATTTAAAACTAAAGTAACGAATCACGTAAAAAAAAAAAAGAAATAATATCGTTAATACGTCACAGTGCATCTTAGCCCATTTTATCATTAATTCATCCGAGACTGAAAATTATTATCGTAAATACAGAAACAATTTTGATTCAGAGACAAATGTGGTTTTAACATTGGAGAAACGACAAATGGATTTCCCGGCCGGGAAACAGAACAGAAAACCTTTAACAATCTTAAATGTAAAAATCTCTGGCTCTCCGCGAAAGCTGAGGTGGAATCTCAGTTGGTGGGGAAAGTCCGGATATAGGAAATTAGACCGCGTTAAACCATTCAAAACTCTCTTCTACCATTTTCCTTCGCCTTCAGTTCGCGAAGAAGAAAAACGAAAGAAAGAACCAGATCCGACCAGATTATCGGACTGTAACACGAGCCCGGATCCTTACCAGACAATTGCTTTAACGAATCGATCAATTCGAACCGTGAAATCCAAACGCGAGACAAACTTCTACGTCTGCGTTTAAATTGAACAAAAATGAAAGCACAACTGCTGCTATTGTATCCGGAATTTTCAAAAAAAAAAAATTTGAGTGGCAAGTATTTCTCGTGGAATTCCGTTCGAACGTAATTCCGGTGACGAGCCGTGAGCTTACCGTGTCTCTGGGATTCCGTATCTCTAGGAATTTCGATCCCATCCCGCGTGTCGGCCGCGTGTCTTGCAGCGTAATCAGCAAAACTAAGGTGAACTAATTGTAAGTAAGGAATTTAGGGACTTACGGGTGAGAGACGCGCCGGTGCAGGCTCCTCATAGACATGGCTCTGTTCTTGCGGTTGGAGCTCGAGGTTGATCCGTTGGCGCTTCCGTTCGGCGTGGTATGACGTGGCGCAGCTGCTGGGGGAGCGGACTGCTCCCCCGTGGCCGCCACGGCCACCGCCGCGGACGTGAGGCCCCCCGAGGTCGCCAGGCCGGTACGCCGAAACGGGCCCGAGCTAGCCGCTAATCGGCGTGCTAATCTGCGGGCGAGCCGACGGGCCAGGCGCGCCCCTGCAGCACCGGCACCCACGCTGACGGTCTTTCTGTCCCACCCCCCGTGGCCAGGGGGTGGTACACGATGCCTGGTGACTGCCTCGGCGACGCTGCACGAAAACTCTCGTCTCCTCTCTTCGCGCCTGGCTTCACCTGCTTCACTACGCGGCTGCTCCTTACCGGCCTGATCACTACGACCTGGCTCTTTCTTCACCTACTTGGCCTCTTCCGCGATCAACGTCACTTTGACTCGCATCAATCGCCGCTCGTTACTATTTTTTTTTTTTTTTTTCTTTTAACGACAAGTTTTTGTGGTTGCTGGTTCGCGAGCCGCTTTCGATCTTGAGTGTGTCTGCGTCTCTTGCGTTGCGGTGGTACGCGGTTCGACTGAAAAGAAAAAGGCAGGAGTCTTAGTTAGAAGTCTTTAGAAGTCGTAACACCTTATATCTGTCTGTGTAAAATCAGGACAATGTTCGTTCTGATTTCCCAACAAATGTAAGTAGCATCATCGTACCTATGGCCACACGCATATGAACTGTTTTATTAAGATTCGAGTTCATTCGCATAATTAATTTCGATGGTTCTTTAAATACGCTTCATCGTGTGTCACTGTTTGGTATGATAAAGTATTTGAAATGGAACATTATCTCAACTCTGTTGAGAAAATGTATAAATAAACGACAAATTGAAAGTGTTTCTAAATTTTGTCTCCCCCCTCCCCCTTAAGTATCAGCGTAACGTCGTTTCTCATTTTTAAAAAAACACTGCCTTAATTATTCATAACACACACCGTTTCATTAGTCGCACAAATAAAAATCAAGTGGAACGATGCCGGGTCGAGCTGCTGCTCCATTTCGTCTAACCTGTTCTTGGCCAAGTGCACGCGTACTAGACGAATTTTCAAAATCGATTTCCTCCCACAACGAAGCCTGCCGCGACAAAACTTTGTTCCACATTCTCAACTAGTATTTACACAAAAAAAAAAAGAAAAAATTGCTTTCTCGTTGATCGTTGAATAGATTTTCATCCCCGCTATATTTCGCGCGATAAAGACCATCGTGCCCGAAGAAAATTCGCAATGATTTAAACCGATGATTTTAAAATTTCCATAGTTGAAACTTGATTACACGTCATCTACCGACTTCTTTCTCGAACAATTTTACAATTTTCACGATAAACGGAACGACCAAACGGCTCGTAGATTTTTATCATTGCTACCTCCATGAATTTCTTTTCTTCCTTCTTTTCCGCGGTCTTCGATTAATGTTGGTACTTTGTAATTTTCGGTGCAGTAATATTAGTTCAGTCGTGTAAAAGGACTGTGGGACTCGGGACAGAATGGAGAGCGAACCTGAATGAATTTAAATGACTTATTCATGCGACGTGCATACGATTAAATCTGGGTGACAAGCTCGAGTCAACTTTTTCCCTATTTCCAAAGAAACTCAACGATCCGGTCAAACTCGTGTGGCACGAGACTCGCGTGGCCTCCGCGTACCACTCGACGTGTACACGTGATTTTTATCGTTGATCAGGACGTGTCACGGTACACGAGCACCGTGTTGATTCGCGTTTCGTGGCCCCCGTTTTTTCGAGTTGCGTGGCTCATTTGCAATGATAACACGGAAACAAGAGTCAAGAGTGTTCGAACAACGAAGAGGAAAAAAAGAGTGAGCTTCCAGCAATTATATTCCAAATATTTATCCCGTTTCTCCCTTGACTCTAGTTAGAGACGCGGCTCAAGAATTCAGAACGCGAAGAAGGCTTTTCTGCGTCGCTCGTCGGTAAACAATAAACGGAAGAATAAATAGAAAACTTTGAACGAGAGAGGCGGTAGCCTCTAATTAATTTTCACGCGGAGTCTTCCTGATCTTCGTTCAACGATTCCATCAACGACTCTCCGCCTGATTTTAATTATCCGAAACACACGAAAACACCGCGCGATCCTCGTCTGTTAGTTTAACGCACGCGTTTCACTAACTAGTAAACACTATTGAACACATTCGTCAAAGGAAATCGTTAAAACGAAAATAAAAGAAAAGACAGGTTGGTGGTGTTGCCATTGCTGGATTGACCCGTAATAGCTTGCGTTAAATAATTTTAGAGCAGCTTGTCTTAATTTGAACTTTACATTCTCACACGTGTCGAATATCAATAATTATTCGTTCGTTGTGCAAGGCAACGAATACAGAAGGAAAGTGAAAATTGGGAGAACTAATTGAAATCTAACCTAAACTGTTACGTTACTGTTACTTGTGAGTCGACTACGATGTCAACTATATATAATAGGAAACGGAGCATGCAAAAATAATACGTACCTACGAAAGAATCACGAGGTGGCCGAGAACGGGATTTAAAACCGGCGATTCATCCCACTTTGTTGGTAGATAGGTTGGTACTCGCGATTCGACGTCAGTGATCGAACATCAGGCTTTCCTCGGTATGGTTATCGGTGTATCACAGTTTGTAAATCCGACGCATGCCCCGCGATCGACCATCGTTTCCATTAATTACACTCGCATTTCAGCCTGGCACACTCTGTGTCGCGCCCCCTTTCATTCACACCCATCTCCTTGAGCGCACGTGTTCACCTAATTCTCGTTTAATATATCTTAGTATCACAATGGACGATTTTTTTATATTTTCCTATCTCGCTTGTGTGTGTGTGTGTGTGTTTAATAATTTATATACTTCTTCTTTCCGCTTCTTCTTCTTCTTTCCACGTGTCTCCTTTTTCTTCTTCTTTTTCTTAATATTTGTTTATAACCTTAAGCTTAGAAATCACAGTCGCGAATTGATACGGATCACCGTAGCATGTGCTGCTGCTGCTGCTGCTGCTGCTGCTGTTGTTACCGTTGCTCACTCGGAAACGATCACACCGCCTCGTATATCAAGCATGCCTTTCTATCTTTCTCTTTTTCTCCCTCTATCGCTTTCGACACGCTGCACACGATTGGTACGACTAGTCACCGATTATTCTCCTTGAGACACGATGGTTCGCAGTTCGAACGATTCCCGTTCTCGAACGGCTCCCACACATATACACGCCGCTCTCCTCACTTCTGTTTTGCTTTCTTTCTCTCCTTTTTTTCTCTTTCTCTTGCTTCTCTTTGCTCTTTGTTCCTTTTTCTTTTCTATTTATTTATTAATATTCGCTCTAGGACGGAATGCGCGTGATTCGTTCGCCAGTCGTGTGCGTGCGGGCCGTCTATCACCTGTTCGACACAAAAAAACTCGACACACGAGAGAAAGCACAGGATTATTCCGCGTCTATCTGCCTCTGGAAGGAGTTTCACTATCGACCATCAATGCGCACGTGCGGCCGACGGGCAATGTGCCGAATCCTCTCGCTCGTCGCCACTCTGACGAGAAGGACACATAAAAACGACGTCGACGGGACGCCCCTCAGAATCGAGAGACGGCTAATACGAGTCGCGGCAAACACCTGGTTATCGCAATCGCGTGCTTCTTCACCTCGTTTCGTTCTTGTTGCACCCTTCGTTTCGTCGCTGCAAAGCGATTCTTCACGTTCGGCTTGGCCACGCACGAGTATCGAGGTGCCATCCTCTCGTTCTCTCTCACCGCCAATCTGTCGTACCTGCTTTCCTTTTCCTCTTCTATCCACCTCTCTCTCTCTCTCTCTCTCTCTCTCTCTCTTTCTTTCTTATCACCTGCAATCCTCGTCTGTCTTTCTCGTTCTCCCGTGCTTACTGATCACCGTGTGTTTCTTCCTTCTCTCCGTCGACCATGTATCCAAGCATCGTTTGAAAGAAGCAGATGTCGTGGTAACCGTTGTTCTCTCCTGTCTCGATCCTGTCAAAAATGGCACATCTCAGCTAAGTGTCATCATCGCTGAACGTCGGTGCGCATCTCCGACGGCAGTTCGACGGCATGGCAACCTACACACGTAACGGGACTTGGTGGCGCGATAGTCTCGAAGCCGTGCGACCGTCAATCGATCGAAAATCATCTGCCCGCCTCGAATCGCACTCCTTCGTTCTTCGCTGGCACGCTTCGACTCGATCCAACCGTGTTCCTTGCAAGCCCATCGACTCTTCTACTCCGTGGTAGGAAGCGGAAGGGGGGAATTCGACGTTCGACCGACGACCACTACGACGACGAGTCGACGAGTTCTCACTTCGTTCCTGGTGCTGTCTCTCACTCGACCGCCACTCTGTTTCTAACAATATATTCGTTCCGGGTTCTGGCAACGGCCCCTAACGACATCTGATTCTCTTCGATTGCGATCCCGCCGCTTATCCGGCAACCTTGCCTTTCTCTCTCTCTCTCTCTCTCTCTCTCCCCCTCTCACGCTCTCTCTCTCTCTCTCTCTCTCTCTCTCTCTCTCTCTCTCTCTCTCACTCCCTCACGTTCTCTCTCTCTCTCACTCCCTCACGTTCTCTCTCTCTCTCTCTCTCTCTCTCTCTCACCCTCTATCTACCCCTATCGGTGCCCGTTCCCACTTGCCCTCCCTCTTTTTTCTCCTCAGTCCTTCCTGTTCCTATCGTCCTGCCGCGTTACTCAGATAGATGTAGCCAGTGTACACTAGTGGCCGCGCACACGCTTACTTTGTCTCTCTCAGTCAATCGCGACCAGCCATTATTACCAAGTAATCCCGCGACTGCTTAATTACTCTCGATACCGCACTCACCGCCAATATATCTCGATACTTCCTCTTCGAAGCACGGGACACCGATAACACGACCTGCTCGCGTGACCCGTTTACGTATCGCAGTTTCCTTGCCCGCGATGATACCATCAGCTTTTTTCCTCTTTTTTTCTCTCTCTCTTTCTCTCTTTCTATCTATATTGTCCTGTCTACAGATCACTCTACGTTGTCCGCACTCCACTCTTCCGGGGGCCGATTGTTCGCACCGTTGATCCTTTTCTGCGACTGTCAAACGAAAAGAGACTCGTTATGAACAACACGATGTTCACGATGTCGAGTGTGTCAAGTGATTCCGATTGTTCCTTTCTCTTTTCTTTCTTTCTTTCTTTCTGTTCTTTTCTTTTTCGTACTGTTTAGACACACACGCGCGCGCAAACTTTTCCTCGTCTTCCCTTTTTTTCCCTACCCCGTCACGGTTTTCTCTTAACCTCGGACACCTACGATTCGTTGCGTTTGTCCCTGTCTCTCTTTCTCTCCCTTACACGCTCGCACTCACCTCGCCCAGTCACACACTCTCTTTCGCTTTCTCTCTCACGCTCTCTTCCCTCTCGCGATTTTCATTCATTTTTCGACATACTCGAAGGGCGCGACGTTTTCCTTCAAGACGATCCCCATACACGCGCCCCGCTCCTGTCCTTATCGATTATGACGCATACTGCATGGAGAAAGGCTGCCCACCCGTTGACGGCCAAAAAGGATTCCCCGCGTGAACAGTTCGCAGAACCCTCTGCTCGCCTAGCCCACGACAAGAGAATCCGCGAGAATCCGTGCACGGGTGTCGCAAGTGTGTGTGTGGGTGCCTGCGGCAGCCGTGTGCAGGCGTAACCCCGACCTCGATGTTAGGCGGCTGATAGCCGGCCTCACACTGATACGGCTCCGTCGTTACGACCACGGGCCATAACCACCCCTTCGACACCCCCACTACGCTACCCGAAAAAAAAAACTACACCCCTCTCTCTTTAGAGAGACGATCGCCGCGCCTCCGCGTGGCGCCTCTGCCAAACGATTTGTCGGCCCTTCAATTCCAACGCAATGCGCACGCGTCCACTGCCGAACCTACCTTTTTCGGACGGAATTGCATGCTGTTCCGTGCCACCTGGCATTTTTTCATCGCTAGAATACTCCGCTAGGGCATTCCGATCGAATATTTCAAATGCGACCCTTTCACGATACAATCCGTCAGAGAGTTATTGGAACGAATGCTTCAGCTTCATCGCGTGGGCTGTGTTTCTTGTCTAAGTGGGGGGGGGGGGGACCTAGAAGAAAACTAGTAAAAATTGCAAATTCATGCATGCAAATTGTACATTTTGTTTGCAGTCCTAGGGAATAGATGTGGATCTGTGTTTCTAACCTATATACTCGTCTCGTCGTTTCGACATGTTACCAGGTGATTGTACTTGATAGCGGTGTACAATTCAAAATTTAGCAGTCGGTATGAGAAACGTTTTTTTATTCTCATTGAACAGCAGTATTCTCTACGAAGAAATGTAATCAAAATTATAAATTGAAAATAAACGTGAACATTTATAATTGCTTTTTTCCAACAGTCCATTCCTATCTCTCTTCGCTAAGATCAAATGTATCAAGATTGATATTTCATTTTATTGTTCGTAAAAGGAATGCACTATTTAAACGTGAAAGTATTCCTTTCGATTACCCCTTTATTCTATTAACCTTCTTTTAATAACAATTCCTTAGTAATGTTTCATTTGGAGCTATACGTTGAACATTGGTTGCGTGTGTAAAGGAGTACATATTGCAGGACTATGCTTTATGTGGCGTTTCCTGCGGCACGAACTAACACTGAGGTTATACGATACTGAAATCACATATACGTTGACTAGGTTTAATCGATGCCGCTGATAAAACCAGTATGGATATACGTAGAATGAATTTCGTTCGTTCCCTCATAAGTTTCGTAATTGATGCATAGATTTTCTTACTGAATTCCTAAAAAAAAAAAAAAAAAACAAATCTGAGAACAAAACATGTGTAAAATATGCAAAGATTTGAGATACGAGAATACATAATCTATATGGTATGTGTTAACTGCTTTTGGTATAAATTTGTTTCTATATATCAGTCTATGTTTTATATCTCTGAGTCTTATTTTTTTTATGCACTTTTATCAATCAAAATGAATAAAAAATTTATAACACGAATTATTCTTTCATAAAAAAAAAAAAGAAGAAAATATGTGATTAATTATAAAAATAAGAATGTCGAACTCAATTAAAAAGAGTGAAATTACGAAATTGCTTACCCTATCCACTCTGATATTTCGTGCCTTTCTAAATTTCGAAATCATAACGACATGACATTCGAAGCAATTCGATCGCGACAACGTAAAAAGCAACCGTTACGACATCTTCTCGCATGTGCTGGAACTTTCTCCTATTCTTTCTCTCTTCAATTTTCCATCTGTAACAAAGAATATTAACTTAATTAACAAAGATATGCAGCCTGACCTTTGATCTCTATTCATCTACAAATGTTTGCTTCAAAATAAGCGTTTATCGTCCATAATTATATTTAAGTCGTAGTTAAATCAGCCTAAGGTTACATACAGATCACAATACTTCTTTCATGCAATAAAGATACATACAACTATATTTTATCCATACCGGTTGTTTTATCGTCGTTCTTATCTCCGATTGAAAATTACTGTTCACTGAAACTGAATATTCTTGGAAATAATTTCACAGAGCGGCACTGAATGCGGTCCAACGTTCGAAAGTGCATCCCCGGATTAAATTCGAGATGTCGCCACCGTCCAGCGAAGCTTTCCGTTAATCGTACTGCGTAGAGTCGATGGATCGAGAAATCGTTCAGTATCGATCAGGACAGCGGGTGCAGCCTGTCAGAAACACTAGAGACAGAGTTTTTGTCCCGTCGGAATTGCACGGTTTCGAGCAAGGTTTCTTTTTTTTTCCTTCTCATCAAAACGAGTGATGCTGTCGTGACGATCGCGCAACAGAATCGTGTTGTGAGAGACACAGCACTTGCAACAATTTCGCTTTGCGTTCTTTCAACGGACGACAGCATTTCGCAGCAGACTAGTTCTTTAGCCATTTTTGTAGCCCTGTACTAAACTAGCCCTGTGCCTCTTGTGATCCGCAATGGCGGAGACAAATGGGGCCGCAAATTTGAATACGAAAAATGGCAATTTTATCTGCGGTGTCGTCGAAGGTACGTGCACGGTTTGTTGTCCCACAGTGTAAAACATATACACACATATTTGGTCATCGTTGGCGATGGCTTTACGTGGGAGGGGAAATGATTGGAATGCGCTGTTCGTTACGGTAGCACAGTATTATTTGCATAAAACATACCATTTTGGATATTTCAGGATTTTATGGACGGCCCTGGACCACCGAACAAAGAAAGGATTTGTTTCAAAAGCAAGTGTTTCACAATTCATCTTTGTTCAGTTTTCTTATGCTAAAGATACCATCTTCATTCCTCTCTGTTTTAAATTTACAGATTAAAGAAATGGGGGATGGATTCATATTTGTATGCTCCAAAAGATGATTACAAACACAGAGCATACTGGAGAGACTTGTACACGGTGGAAGAAGCTGAACATTTAACAGGACTGATAACAGCAGCAAGAGAATGCGGTATTACGTTTTATTATGCGTTATCACCAGGATTGGATATCACATATTCGAGTACCAAGGAAGTTAGTGTATTGAAAAGAAAGTTGGAACAAGTTAGCCAATTTGGTTGCACTGCATTTGCTTTATTGTTTGATGATATAGAACCAGAAATGAGTGAAGCGGACAAAGAAGTATTTCAATCTTTTGCTCATGCACAAGTGTGTTTCAAATGCTTTAATCGATACAATAATTATAAGAATAAAAGTCTCTTCTTTGTAATTCATTAAAATGATCTGTTTCGTCAGGTTTCTGTCACAAATGATATTTTCCAACATCTTGGTCAACCCAGATTTCTACTGTGTCCAACACAATATTGTGCAACCCGGGCAATGCCAAATGTGGCATCCTCGGAATATCTTAACACACTTGGTAGTAAATTGGCCCAAGAAATTGATATAATGTGGACTGGCCCTAAAGTAATATCCAGACTTCTCACTGTTGAATCCATTGAAGAGATTACAGAAGTTTTGAGGAGGCCGCCAGTCATATGGGACAATTTACATGCTAATGATTATGATCAAAAGCGTGTATTCTTAGGTCCATATTCTGGCAGATCTCCTGATTTAATTCCTAAACTCAGAGGTGTTTTAACTAACCCTAATTGTGAATATGGAGCAAATTTTATAGCAATTCATACATTGGCTCAGTGGAGTAGGTGTAACATTGATGGAAAAAGGGATTTAAGTTTAAGTAAGTAGAGAGTTATTTCTGATTTAAAAAATATATTAAGTTTGCATTATTTCATTCTATCTCATTTGCAGATGATACAGTATCAGCTGACATAAAGTTAGAGACTGAAACGGAAGATGGCGTGCTTGGTGAAGATGTTCCTTCAACAATGTCTCCAAACATATATCATCCTCGGCACGCTTTAAAAAATGCCATTAGCGATTGGTTAGTGGAATTTAACAAAAAACGACCCGCGTGGGGTGTTATAGCAAAGCCACAACCATGTGTTGCTCCAACTGTACCGATTCCAATAATTCCTTCTGTAAATACATGTATGAGTCTCACATCGACGACGACTACTACTACTACAGTTCCCGCGCCACCACCTACGCCAGTAAATAATTCCAATCATCTTCAAGCATTAGCTGAAGTTTGCTCAAGCGTGACGACTACGGATAGTTACGTACAACCTCCTGCTGGTCCTGTCATGAATTCTTTGGTATCTGAGACAACTGTCGTTAGTGAACCCATTATTCCATCAATTTCTAGTAGCGTGCAAAATGTACCAAGTTCAAATAATTTGTCATCCATGGAACCAATGGATTGTAACACAACGCCTAATAATTCCCCAGCACACGCAGCCAAGATTCAAACAGAGGATGATGCCATGGTAGAAAATACTTCTGTAAGTTTTTTGATGAACAACAATAAAATTTGTGAAATTAATATAATTTTCTTTTGCAGACATGTAGCGAAGCCTCTGGCAGTATGCAAGTTGAAATGGATGGCACTTCCCCTGTTATAAATGGTACTCAAATGATCGTTGAAAACGACAGCGAGAATCATGATAGTGGCGATAATGGGGATCAAGAATCTTCAGAATCGATAGATGTCGACAAGCGATTAACGCAAGAAGACTTGTCGCTGTTATGCGATCTCTTTTATTTGCCATTTGAGCATGGCGGTCAAGGCATTCAACTACTGCAAGAGTTTAACTGGTTGAAAAGTAACGCTCACGTTGTCATGAGAAAATCAAAAGAAGATGAAGCTGCATCTGAATCTGATGTATGCGAGTCTCCCCTATTACGATTAAAATATATGGATAACAAAATAATTCAAATAAAATTTTAGATTGAAGAATGGCACACGCGAGCAGCTAAGCTAAACGAAATGTGCAATGCCGTAAATAGGTTATTTCAGAGGCTTACATACTGTAATAACCGTGAGTTGTTATATGATCTCTATTCGTATGTGTGGGACATGCGAGGAGTTGTATCTCTCTTAAACAGTTACGTGAAATGGTTGGGTAAGTTATATATTTTATTCTTATAAAAAGTTCAATATATCAATCAATCATTATGTTTTGGTATTTCTTTAAAAGAGATAAAAGAAAGTAAGAGAAATGCTTCAAATCAAATATATAGTAACATCCAAAATATTCCACATTTTTAATTCTATTTAAATATTTCTTAATCTATCCATTACTCATTCCTTTAAATATAAATGTATAGAAATATAAGTTACATTAAAATAAATAAAGAAAGTTTATTCAAAATGCTAGTATGCTGGTACAATGATTAAAATAAAAAGAAAGTTCCTACAATCAAAATTATAAAAATTATGATTTATTTTTCTTTAGTTTTCGTATTATGTCGCGATAAGTTGTATTTGTTGTGCTACAGATGAGTGCTGTTATTAATTTTTCTCAAAAGTACTATAATTTATTACCTATACTTATATTTCAGAACAAAAGTGTCTCGAGTATTGGTAAGTGTAATGTTCTATCCGTTTTTTTAACTCACTCATTTTGTCTTTTTACAAGAAAGGTGTGTTTTTATGAATTAAGCTACATTTTTTTGTAATTAATAGAGATTTATAATTTTGTAGGAATGTATATCTTTTTAATTTACTAAGAATAGCCTTTTACATACTATTTCTTAAATATTTTCCCTACAACATACAATTTGAAAATATCTTTCCTTTAAGTTTATGAATTAGTTACACTATTTGTTACACTGCACTTCCTTGTAAAATGACAATTTATACAGTCATAAAACACGCAAAGAACATTAGTTACAGATTCCATAAGTTACTGATGTTTCCATAAGTTATTTACTTTTTGCGCATTTAATTGCCAAAGAATAAGAATAAATATTAATGTTTTTAATTAAGAATTATACCATTTTATGGACATTCAACATTTGTGTAAGATATTAAATATTATTATGAAAATCTCTATGTATACAAATAATACTACATATACAAATGTGCACACATACAAATATTCATATCATTGTAAAAACATGGAGAAGAATTCAGTTTAACTGAATTCACCAAATTCGAAAATTGTCCTTTCCACAATTTATCCTTTTAAATATATCAGGATATGAACATACATCGGTAATATTTGGAATCGAAATGTTTCATAGATCGCATATCTATGGAATTGCATCTGTACATTTGTTTCTGCGCTTTAGAATCAAATGTACCACATAGCGCGCGTAAACGAACAAGCAGGGTTGCCGTAAGTCAAAATCAGAACAAATTAAATATATAAATTAAACTTATTCTTGTTGCCTAATACATTCATGTTTCCTAAAAATACAGACCATAACTGCATTATACAATTGCACCAAACATTAATTCTTATACAAAACTGAGACACAAACGTAATAAGTTCTTCTGCATTTGAAACTAATTGAAGTAAAGTCTTTTACTTTTAGCTGCATATAATTTTTTAGGAAATAATTTTCTTATTTGTCGACTAACGGCTTCCTATTTATGGTTCTATTAGCGAATAAAGAATGTCACAACATTTCTCATTTTTTTCTTAATTCCTTTTGATAATAATCTTTACTTCGTTATGGTAAGACAAATCATGAAAACGAGGAGAATTGGTGTGACCTTCTAGCGCAATATATTAGACAAAAGGATTTTTCATAGCGAACACTTTCTGGGAAACTATTTAACAGCATCTATGTGGACCTGAACAAATATTATGTTTTAAGTAACCTTGTGCCAGCTATTAACATATTGGCTGACTTTCTTTCACAGATAATGTTTGGCAGAAATATATTTATTTGCCATTTATTTATTATAAGTTCAGAAATCAATACATTTCAACATGGTAATACGTATGTAAATAAGTACCATGCTAGTGTACAGAGATAATAGAGCGAATAGTTTCTGCCAGCAGTATAAGTGTATGAGGAACAGTACAGCTTCAATTCACTGACTAACGTGCGTTTCTGTGTTTTTTGTCTTGTTGATAGCGTTTGGCAGATTCCCATCGACGATGACAACGTTTACCCAGGGCAGCTACACATGTATGCGATTCATCAGTCTGAGTAATCCAACAAAAAGCGCGCGATTAGCAAAGCTTCAAACTAATGAAAATTATAACAGAATTTCAGTTCGAGTTTGAAGCTTTGTGAAGAAACTTATTATTGAGAGATTATAATTAATATAAGCAAGAAGCAGCGTTCTGATGCCTTGAAGGATCTATGTGTATTCAACACAAATATCTCTAGTACTTAATGTAGTTTGGTACGTGATGGACATACTTTTTTATTTTGCAAAAATTCTCACGAAACAATCTTTGAAATTTTATTCTTATAAAACATTTTCTGCGTACATTATTTAATTTTTGTTTTATCTCGCAGCATTTGTATCTGCAATTGCATTTGAGTTCATTCGTGTATATATTATGAATATGCTTCAAAATTGTATTAATGCAAATCTTACTTTTATTTCTGAAAGTAACATTGCAACGAATTCTCCATGATAATAATTTTTGCATGTAAAGTAAGTCCATCTAAAATTTCTACAAAATTGGCGAAGATAGGACAATTTTATAAACTATTGAGAGCTTTTCCTGAGAATTATACTGGTCAAACACAATCGACAAAAGCTGTGTCTTCTGTGCTTCTTTTTATTTCTTGAAACTTTTTAACGTATTTATTATTTACAAACGTCGATAATGTTCATTATATATTATGCTTTTATTATGTTCATCAAAAGCATCTTTGATGAATTGTGAATGACTAGTAGTACATCCTCCTTTTGCCAACTTGCCTGTACTAATTTCTTTTAGTTCCAGAAACTGTATTCTTTTCAGGAGTAATAGGAGTTTTATTTCAGGCGCATTTTGGCAAACTGGATTACCATTCCACCCCATTCCATCCCATTTTCCTTTCCATTATCTCAGAAATTTGTCATTGCGCGAACTTTGGTGCAACATTCTTTAAGCGTTCATCCTTTTATATATTTTACTTTAATCATAATTGGTTCAACATTAATATCGATATGAAATTTTTAAAAATGCAAAAAATCAATTGCCTCGTAACAAGATTTGTTTGCCAAAGTATTTTATGAGTTTCTTTGTTTCTTTTTGTTTAAAAATAGACACATGAATAGTCAATAAAATGTGATCAAATTACGTATGTTTTTATTCATTAACGAAATGGTGCACCGTAGTTTCTGTATTTTCGATTAATGGAATCTCTTCCATCTCTCAAAATGATTTTTCGATTTTCTAAAGTAACGCAAAGATTCGCTATAACGTGATACGTTAACGAGATAAGGAAGTCTGTCAAAATACCATTAATCGAAGTCTACTTATGCATGTTATAAATTTTAAACAAAATTAGTGTTCAAAGCAGTGGAGGCCATTTCATAAATTTTACAAATTGCAAAATCGCGCGCATATAATGTTTTGTATTTCATTCTTATATTAAGACTGTGTACTGTATCTTGGGATAGGGTTTTCAAATGGTTGGAAAGAAACTTTTATGAGCGGAGATCAAGAGCCATGGGTATTCCGTGGAGGACTAACGGCTGATCTACAGGTATATTTCTTTATTATATTTTTTAAACTAAAGGGAGAGGGGGAAAGGAAAATTATTGTTTTTTTTTCTCTTTTATAGAGATTAATTCCAGTGGATAGTGGTAATGACCTATTCGTTTACAAAGCGCCAGAAGTGCCCAGTAGTAAAATCTATACAATTAGGCCTTATTTAGCAAGTGATGAAGATGCAGTTTATGATGTGTGCAATAAAATATGTGGCTGTGTTGGATCATCTGCAGTTGCAGATCGGTAAAAGAATACTTTCTTTACAAAAACTACCGTTTTTGTTACAATAAGTAATTGCAAACGCTTAATTCTTAATGACAGATTGGTTGGGGGTTTTCTCACTCTAAGTTCAGAATTGTGTATGGTTGTTGAAGATGAGAGTGGGATAGTAGGTTACGCACTGGCTGCCTTAAATGTAAAGTCTTATTATCAGAAATTAGCTATTTCTTGGATTCCTGAGTTACGAATGAAGTACCCATTGGAAAACAATATGAATGAATTGCCACAAAATGTTCAGGTATTTGTCTATAATTCACCATCTTATTAATATTTAAAATAAAAAATTTATGTCATACTAACGTCTGGAACTTATTTATAGGACGCCATACGATATTTCCATTCGTTTGTTGTGGATGTGCCTGAACAATTATGCAGACAACATCCGTCGAAGCTGTTGTGTGCTGTGTTACCAAGTGTTACAGACCAATCTGTCCCTAAAAGATTAATTACGTGTATTCTTGCAGCTTTAAGAGCCAACGGTGAATAAATTTTTGCATATTTTGTTAATTATTATTTATGAAATGATTCTCATAAAAAGAATTTTTCTGCAGGTTCGTTTGGTGTACATACTACGATGTCAAATACAGACAAACAATCACACGAATTTTATAGTAAATTAGGTTTCGTTGACCTAAATCCAGCTCACGAGGAACATCCTGGAATCAAAACTATGTGTAGAAGTTTCTAACAAAGAGTGAGTACACCAGTGATATTTGTGAATAAAGTGTATTTACTCGGACCACCTGCGAAGAAGGCTTCTGCTGTTTAGAAATGAAATCAGTTATCTGGAAATCTATTATATTATTTCAAAAACGACCCGGTGGAGCTTTCCTTATTGTGTGTTTCTATGCAGCAGATAGAAAATCAATTCCTCATGAATACTTTCTTTGGAATAGAAGTAAAGAAAATGCAGGCAAATTTTATATTATACCATTTTCAATGATTCGTATTTCCTTTCCAAAAACTGTTCTATAAGATGTCCATCTTCTTAAACTGAAAGAAGAAAAGAAAGAAGAAAAAGATCACCTAACTGTGTTTAACAATATATTCGATATATATGATGTACATACGTATATATATAACAGTAAGTTGCAGCAATGTTGAATGTGGAGAATTCGAAAAAAAACGTAAAACGTGCAATAGTAATATTTAAACAGAGCAAAAGTGGAACGCGATACAAGAGAAAAAAGATTATTTGTTAATTTTATGAATATTTGTGTTTGTGAATACAACTCTATGGAATTTTAATATAACCGGTATGCTTGTATGTTAATAGGAAATTTTCTTAAGGCTCAAAGGATGTATATATCGTATTGAATGATGTACGATGAGAAAAAGATAATGCCAGTATGTGTGTTCAATCGATAAATTAATCGAAGCTTTTTATCCCGTCGAAAGATATTTTCGTATAGTCACACGAACGACGAAGAAGATCATGAAACACAAGAAGAAAATAAACTTCGTTCGTTCAGTTCGTTTTTGCTGAATCACTATAAAAATTAAAAAAAAAATCAACACAAGGTCTAGTTTTAACGTCAGCTTCGCATTTCTAAGAAAATCACCTAATCTATAGATACTGTACTGCCTGATAACAAAATGTTCACAGCGTGTACATAATCGATATTTAACATGCCTACTGTAAGGCCTTTTTATGTTTAACGTATCGTCCTAATTAATGCTACTCTTAATTATGCAAAAGTGAATATTATTAACGATTCCTAATTGGCTCTACGATCGCATTACGACGTAGTACTCGTATATGTATTGCCACAGAATGTGATGTACATATATAGAATTGTTTAGAAAATACTGATTACTTTATTAACATTCAACAGTTAGCTAGTTTAATTTTACCGTGTCAAGACGTTAAATAATATGTACGTTGTATTTTATACGATCGTTTATTTTTATAAGTTTCCGTATTATAACGATCATCATAATCATATAATTACGCGATAATTATTTATGTCCAGGAAAAAGCAATTAAACCTTTAGAGGTCTCGCGCACAGGTATAGACGATGTACAAAGTCGATTTCAGAAGTAAAAAAAAATTGACAGTCCTTGAATGTAATATTAAGCCGACTATCTTTGTGTCGTTCACGTGAATAGGAAGGAAGGTCTAGGTGCACCGTTGGGCCGGTAAGTCCCATATGGTAATATTCACAGTTACAAAGACTTCACATTACTTTTGTGTGTTTATCGGCCCTGGTCGTAATGGGACACGTCCCTTACAAACCATTACATTGCTAGTTAGGTACTAACAAGATTGTTGTTCGTATCACGTTATATACGTCAGTGTATCAAATGTACAGAGCCAAGACAGAAAGTAACGAATAAAGTATATACACACATACACACGAACAAACACACGTAACGAAAGAAAAATTAAAATAAATATGAAGATCTTAGATATTTGCCTTATAATTACTATTAATCGTAGTACTATTACAAAACTGTTACACCACGAACTAAGGTGTAATTTTTTGACTCTGAGCGAAATAAGAATCGGTACTAGAATTTGAAATACGGTGCCATGTGTAAAAAAAAAAAAAAGGGAGGAGTTCGATCGTTGTGAAAATCGTTCACGTAATCTATAAAATCTATTTTAATTCGGATTATCACTTTGTAGAATTTTTATATATACTCGTCACGTGTTTTCGCGACGATCGAATAGAGAGAAGCTAATATTAAAAAGAAGTTTTGTTGGCGGGAAGGCTGGAAAGCAAAAATTTTCGTCATATTTTATCATTTTCTCCCTTCTTTTATCTTCTGCATAGAACTGTATTAATGTGCAGCCTGTATTACTTTTATCATACTAAAGTACATTAATATACACGTTTACTCTATTTAATATGAATTTATTCTCTATTTAATAATAATTTTTCACAAGCATAACTTTTTTATAGCGAATAATATTTTTAATACGTGTTTTCTCTTTTCGATGCTTTTTAAACGATGAAAAGAAAAAACCATGTGCGTACAATAATATATTTCCAGTTGTCTCGTCGTGTATTTGTTAAGTACATACATGTAATTAACTATTAAAACGATATGTGATTATTACTGATTTATTTAAATAAACATGTCAAGACTGATACTCCTGATGTAATCAAAATTGACATCGGTAAAATCATCGGGATAAAAGTGATCGGTAATTTTACCAGAATCGTTGCAGTTTTTGTTTAATTCTTCAATGTTGCAACATCATTGTATTTCCGCAAATTCTGAATTTCACTTTGGAATTGTAATATCTGAAATTTCGAAAAAAAAAAAAAAAAAAAAAAATGTATGAGAATCAGTACCATTTATACAACAAATGTATTTTCTCCTTCTAACGATTACACAAATTTTCAGTATAGAAAAATAGTACCTTTTCTATTTCATTTTTAAACAAGTTTTGTTTCGTTCTAGGAGTTATTTCGTCCGTAGTATTTATCTCAAGTTTATTTAAGGATTCTAATAGTTCGTTGATTTTCTTGTTAATGTCTCTGCAAAATATATTATCGTTTAGTTTCACGAGTTTCTTATTTCTTTGTAATTTGTAACTTATAGGGTAAAAAATTTTAACTCACGTCGGTGATAAAAATTTTTGTTTGTTCTTCTTTTTGAGTCCCAAATTTTTCTGTATGTTTAAGTAACACATATATAATAGAAGTTACTATAAAATTTTGTAAGAAAACAGTTAAACAAATTAAAAAACAAATCTCACCAATTTGGAATTTTGTTTAAATATGGAAGCATAGTCTTCAATATCGAAACCAAACGGAATGTCATCTATTAAATGAATATTTTATTTAACGATAACATAACGCGATAAAGTTTTTTTTTTTTATATATAATACCTTCGTTTCTTTTCATTGCCTTCGCCATAGCTTTGCTGTAACTTCTTTTATCTCGTCTCCATTCCTTTAAAACAGTTTCATCCCTATATAATAAAAGAATGATCGTAAATTGGATGGAACATATTTTATTGAAAAACATATACATATATTTGGAAAAAATTAAAATCTTACTTTACTTTTTGAAGTATTGCAGTTTGTCTAGCAAATAATTCTCTCAACTTGGAAAACCATAATAAACGATGTTCTACTATAATGTTCGGACCTTTGTTTTCACATCTAAATCGAAAAATTAACCAATTTACATTGCTATGTACATAATAATTTAGCTAATTGTTTCTATAGTTTGCAGTTAATTCAACTATGTTTTCATTCCTAGATAATTTTCTAAACATGATAACATCCAATCTGGATCGTCTAATCTCATAGGATTTAATTTAAATTTCTTTCCGTCGTTAGTAATAATATCAAAAGTATATTCGGTATTTTCTACCCTATTTTTATACTTCTTGCTGTTTTCTATTAGTGTATCATTGTTGGATATGTTATTTCTTGTTCGTAGAGAAACATCAGTTGTAATTTTATTAATAATTCTACACTCTTTTATCATTGATTTATAATGAGTTTTCAAAATTTTCACATTTTGTCGGACATAAAAAGACCGTGGAGATGGGCCCATCAAACGTAAAATTTTATTCTCCATTTCATCGGTATCTATTTTGCAGTTGACAGTATTTATATTTTCAAATGTACGTTTATGTTTTAATTTTCTATAGATTTTAGAATTGCTTATTTTTTGCAAGTAGAAATCATAAAGCGACTTGGATGTTTCTTCTAACCAATGATTATTCAGAAATTTTGACTTTTCATCGAAATACCTGTTACTGGGTTTATACGATTTACGTTTCTCTCTTGTAGATACATTTTTGTTGGAAATAACGTCTTTTAACGGCACAAGTTTCTTCTTATTCTTTCGTGGAGATTGATAACACAGAATCGTCGACAATTTTGGCTCGATTTTTTCTGAAAGAAGGAAATAAAAACCGATTCTTCTCAAACTTTAAATATTACTTTACGAACTTATTTACACGGATCTTTCTGACAAAATACAACCTACTTTCTTTGGGTTCGACTCGTTCTTCAGGATGCGCGTTATTCCACTCGATTCGTAAGAATGTCAAAATAGCCGCGCAACCGGAAGCCACGATATCTTTCGGTGGCATGACAAGGGGATTCTGTGTCACTTGAAGTGTTTTCAGATTTGGCAGGGTGCCTACAATAAGATTAAACGTTTTTGGCGAAATGTCAGATACACTCTTACGCAGTAAGTTTGTTTGATAAGAAGAAACACATCATCAATACAGAAAAGTATATATTGTACAATGATTGATGTCGCGAGCAGATTCATAGAACTAAAACTGCTTCAATTATGCAACGACTTTTCAATAACGACTCTCAAAAACTCTCTTTTTCTGAGCACACGCTCTTTTTTTTACATCTTCGCATCCTTCACTTTTATCAGGCCTGATTGATTATTTGGATTTCTCCCGCTATCTAATTCTATCACTTAATTAAATTAAAAGTTAAATCTACGACTAAACACCTGATATATTAATTATAATTTAAAATATGATAATCCAAAGAATTATGTTCAACTTGATATTTTTTCAAAAGTACATATTTAAAGAGATGGCTTACGTCTTGTAATTTATTTAATTTTTTAACGAATGCTTACAAAGTTCTAACGGTAAATTTTCCACTTTATTCTGTTGAAGTAGAATCGTTTGTAAGCACATATGCCGCTTGATACTAGCTGGCAAAGAAGACAGCTGATTATTTCTGACATCTAACCATTCCAAGTATTTTAAAACATTAAAAACTTCCCCTGGAATCTCAACCAAGTTGTTATTCGACAAATATAACATCTGGGAACAAGAATAAATGATTTCAAAATGTAGTAAGATCTTGCTTCCGTCTTTGCTAATATTTCAGTGCAATTACTTGAAAAAGTAAGGTACCCTTAATTGCGAAAAGTTGTTCAATATTTCACTGGGGAATTGCTTCAAGTCCATACTAGAAAAGTCTACAAATATTTCGTTGCAAACAGGTTCCTTCTTTGGTGCTAACGGTGGTAAGTTTATACTACTCTTCGAAGATTTTCGCGATTCTTTTGCTGTCGTTGAAGAAGCTTCTGAAGTATTGTCTGGAAAACTGTCCTCGACAAATGACAGATCTAAATCACTTTTGGTGTTATCCTTTACTTCGTTTATTTCTGTTTCTATAATAACAAACGCAGTGTGTAATTTTTAATCTAAAAAACGCGTTATTAATACACGTTAATACCTCGATCCTCAATATACGGTTTAATATAATCTGAGGGGACGTCGCCCACAGATAATTGGTCAGGTAATTGCTCGTGTGATTGCTCAGATAACACATTTTCGAAAATGTTGCACATAATATTTGGCCCAAAATCGATGTCCTTCACGTCGAAGGTTTCATCGCTATCGTACGCATCCTCCATGCTATCTAAAACTCGCGAAGGTCGTGGGTACGATTCGTCCGCAATGCTTAATTTCCGATTTTCATCTTCGTCTTTCTACGAACGATCATCCATGCAACAGTTACGAAAACATAAATCATTTGTCAATAACGTGAAATTAAATTAGAAATTAGAAACTATAGCCTGGCTACCTGAAACTCTTCATCAGACGTATTTTCCTCGTTGGTTAAAGAAGCTTGCTCAGTAACCTGTTTCTCTTCTTCGTTCCTTGCATTTTCGATGCTACGATGAATCGACATGCATCTTTTGCCACTCGATTCTGCCCCAAGGCCGTAATATTGCGACAATAAATCTTTAACTAAATCGGACATGACGCTGAATAAGTAATTTCGCTGTTTTAGCAAACGAGAGATCGTTCTTAAGAATCAAAAATGATGGTTAGACAATGGTCAGCTGGATCGATTGTAATTCTTGTTTATTCATTACCTAGGTGACGAGATAGCATTATTTTGAACATATAATAAACACATATCATATTCTAAATTTGAAATTGTGAAACTATTATATTTGTCGTTAGTGCAACGTGTAGAAAGTTTAAGTACAAGGAGATGCATCAATGAATGAAACAGATAATCAATAGGTCTTCTTTTATATTAAATTAGTAATTTTGTTTTAATTTCAACCCTCTATTAAGTTAATTTTACGTATGTAATTGGTGAAGTTGAGTATAAATCCTGTTGTTCGTCGTAACAAATTGTAGGGGGCGTAGAAAACGCCTATTATGGCGACGCTGATTTAAAATGAAGAAAGAAGAAAGTGGGAAACTATTTTATATTCTCATTCGTTAATAATTAATCGAAGCAAATGGTCGTTATAAAATATTAATGTTAATAAATAGTTATAGTTTTTTATTAAATCTCGTAATATATTTATTTGATGTAGATTTATTTACAGCTTCAGCCCACAGAGTGCGCTAGTGTAGATACGGTCATGCGGCAGTGCGTATTCTTTGGTCATTCGTTGGTGGTACGTGCGCCGGTACGGTTCTCCTTCTAACGAAGTTGTGTTTTGTTGTTTGTTTAGTTGTGTTTGATATAACATTCCTTGTAACATGTCAGATTCAGAGGCGAGTAATTTGTCTGACAATGAAAGCGATCGAGGAGTGGGTGGAAGTGAAAGTGATCAAGAAGAGAATCGTTCGATAAAATCTACAGCTGGCAGCGATGGTGGCAATATTGGTGAAAGATTACGGAGCGTTTCTCGAAGTAGAAGCCCGTCTAGGTCAAGATCCAGAAGTCCGTCTAGGTGGCGGTCACGATCCCGCTCAGCATCTGGGTAAAATTAATATTTATTCTGTAAACAAACGTTATTTGGGACACATTGAATTTGTGACCTATTTTCATGTCACATGATAGTTCTTGACGTGTAGATTGCAAAAGTAGCAGAATTTTTTAGTGTTTCGGAGGCGCGTGTTAGTGTTTTGAAAGCGCTTGTATAAAATTTTTGCATAGCATACAATTCACTTGGTCGCCATATTGGCATTATATTTTGTACAGTTGATGCAATAAATTCAGTCACTATTTGTATAACGCGCATATTAATTGTTTTAGTATATCAGGTGTAAAAGATAAAAAAATTTCATTTATTTGGTCAAACAATAGTACAATATTTTTTGAAAAATATATACGAGAAATGATATAAAAATATACTGTTTTTGTATTGCCGCTATTAGCGACGCCATGAAGTTAATGTTATTGATAGTTAGGTCACTATAATACCGACTGTCTTTACACATTCAAACATTTTTGTAGTTTATGCTTTATTACATATATAATTTTAATATATATTAATATATATTAATATATTTTATAAATATATATATTAAATATATGTATCAAAGTTATATTCAAATTTTAAAATATTCTTCATAACATGACTTTTTTTTTTATTAAAAGTGAAATAGTTAAGAAATTAGTTAAAAATGTATTGAATTTTTAGTTCAGAGGATGGAAGAGGAGATGAGGCAGAGGAAGCTAGATCTGGTGATGAGGAAATGGTGGAACCTGAGGAAGAACCAGAAGGTAAATAATCAAAGAATATGAGTGTAAATAAAAGGATATAAATGTATTTTATTATATCTAATATTTATTCTTCTTTAGGAGAGGATTTGGAAGGAAGTAGCGAGTATGATGAAGAAGAAGAAGAGGAGGATGATGATAGACCTCGCAAGAAAAAGAAAAAAGACAAATACCGTGACTTCATTATAGATGAAGCTGAGGTAGATGATGAAGTTGAAGACGATGACGAGTGGGAAGAAGGTGCCCAAGAAATTGGTATTGTTGGAAATGAAGTAGATGAATTGGGCCCTACTGCTAGAGAAATTGAAGGCAGACGCAGAGGAACTAATCTTTGGGAGTAAGTAGTTCAAATATTGTCAAATACTTTAAAATTGTATATCCTTAAACTAACTTTTGCAAACTTCCTCAGTTCTCAAAAAGAGGATGAGATAGAAGAGTATCTCAGGAAAAAGTATGCAGATGAATCTATTGCCACTCGACATTTTGGAGATGGTGGCGAGGAAATGAGTGATGAAATTACACAACAAACTTTACTGCCAGGTGTGAAAGATCCAAACTTGTGGATGGTAAAATGCCGTATCGGAGAGGAGAAATCCACAGTACTCTTATTAATGCGAAAATTCATAACGTACCAGTTTTCAAGTATGTAATCATAATTATTTCAAACTTCAATTTCAAATTAATTTCCGTTCGAAAATAATTGCAATTTCAAAATTTATTTTAGACGACCCTCTTCAGATAAAATCGGTTGTTGCACCCGAAGGGGTGAAAGGTTATATCTACATAGAAGCATACAAACAACCACACGTAAAGGCAGCTATCGAAAATGTAGGAAATTTAAGAATGGGTATTTGGAAACAGCAGATGGTACCAATTAAAGAGATGACTGACGTGTTACGTGTAGTTAAAGAACAGACAGGCTTGAAAGCGAAACAATGGGTTAGATTAAAAAGAGGAATTTATAAGGATGACATAGCTCAGGTTGATTATGTTGACTTGGCACAGAATCAAGTTCATTTAAAATTATTACCTAGAATTGATTATACTAGGCCACGTGGAGCTTTAAGAACAGCGCAAAGCGAATCTGAAGCCTTAAAACGTAAAAAGAAAAGAAGACCAACCGCTAAGCCGTTCGATCCCGAAGCAATTCGTGCTATCGGAGGAGAAGTCACTAGCGATGGTGACTTCTTAATTTTCGAAGGAAATAGATATAGTCGAAAAGGGTATGTTTTAATATGGATTGTTTAATTCGTTATTGAAATCACTGCATTGTAATTAATTATAAATATTGTTTTAGATTTTTGTATAAAAATTTTACAACAAGTGCGATTATCGCAGAAGGTATAAAGCCAACTCTGTCCGAACTGGAAAGGTTCGAAGAAGCACCCGAGGGTGTCGAATTAGACATAAGCGGGGCTCCAGGAACAGGCGCGGGTAACAAAGAAGACACGGCGATAACTCATTCGTTTAGTACAGGGGACAATGTCGAAGTATGCGAAGGTGAATTAATTAACTTGCAAGGAAAAATCGTTTCAATAGATGGAAACATGATTATGGTTATGCCAAAACATGAAGAACTTAAAGAAGCCCTAGAATTTCAAGCGTCAGAGTTACGGAAATATTTCACTATGGGTGATCACGTTAAGGTAAGAATAAAGAAAAATAATCAATATAAAAAAAAAAATCACTTGCAATATAAAGTCTATATCGGAGAATTAATTGCAGGTTGTAGCAGGAAGATATGAGGGTGATACTGGTTTAATAGTTCGAGTGGAACAGAACAGAGTAGTTTTATTTTCTGATCTTTCAATGCATGAATTGGAAGTACTTCCAAGAGATTTGCAACTTTGCTCGGACATGGCAACAGGTGTAGACAGTTTAGGACAATTCCAATGGGGTGATTTAGTTCAGCTAGACGCACAAACCGTAGGCGTAATTGTTCGACTAGAGCGTGAAAACTTTCACGTGCTGTCCATGCATGGTAAAGTCATAGAGGCTAGGCCTCAGGGACTCACAAAAAGACGCGAAAACAGAAATGCAGTGGCGTTGGATTCACAACAAAATACTATACAGAAAAAAGACATTGTTAAAGTGGTTGATGGTCCACACGCTGGAAGAGGCGGAGAAATCAAACATTTGTACAGAAGTTTTGCATTCTTACATTCGCGAATGTTTGTCGACAATGGTGGAATTTTCGTTTGTAAAACGAGACATTTACAACTTTCTGGCGGAAATAAATCAAATATATCATCCATGTTACCTGTAACGGGATTCATGTCACCGAGAATCGCATCACCAATGCATCCTAGCGGGTTGGTAACACTCACTAATTGCTATTGCAAACTAAATTACATTCCTTCTGCTTTAATCTTTTTCGTTATCGTTTATATACTTCATTTTTTTTTTTACAGCGGTGGTTTCGGAAGAGGTGGAGGTGGAAGAGGTAGAGGTCGAGGTGGCGGAGCCAGACGTGACAGAGAATTGATAGGAACTACTATCAAAATAACGGGCGGGCCATACAAAGGAAACGTTGGAATAGTGAAAGACGCCACAGAGACGACTGCTCGTGTAGAATTACATTCTACCTGTCAGACTATCTCTGTGGACAGGTCTCATATTGCAAACGTTGCGGTACTCACGAAGGATGGCGGTTTCAGCAGTTACAACAGAACACCAGCCTATGGCGGTGGGCAAACACCAATGTACGCCAGGGATGGATCAAAGACACCTATGCATGGTTCTCAGACACCAATGTACGAAAGTAAGTATTTGAAATATGTAAATATGCAAGTAATATTGTTTAAGTTCAATAAACTAACTTTAATATTCTTAATTCGCAGATGGTTCTCGTACTCCTCATTATGGCTCGATGACGCCCTCTCACGATGGTTCACGCACACCGGGACAATCTGGCGCCTGGGATCCAGCTGTGACAAATACTCCTGCAAGGACAAATGACTTCGACGGCTATAGTATGGAAGAAGGTGGATCTCCGGGTTACGCACCAGGTTATCCACCTACTGGCGGGCCGTTCACACCACAAACGCCTGGCACGATGTACGGTTCGGAGCAGAGCTTTAGTTCTTATCAGCCGAGCCCTAGCCCAGCAGGAAGTGCCACTGCAAGTCCTAGTCCTGCAGGATATGTCGCAACTCCCTCGCCAAGTGGTACTGGATATACTACTAGTCCTCATGGAGCCTTCGCCACACCTTCACCAATGGGTTACAGCCCAATGACTCCTGGTAAGTCTTTTTTTTTTTGCAAGTTTAAATTTTAAGTTTTAAGTTTAGAATGTTTCTTGAACTTGTTTTTTTTTTTTTTTTTTTATTAAGGTGTTGCAGGTAGTCCATACAATCCACAAACACCAGGCGCTGGTCTAGATACTAGCGTTGGTTCTGGAATCATTGGAGGAACTGAATGGCATACCACAGATATTGAGGTTCGAATTCGTGACTCTCATCAAGATCCTGCGTTGGCGGGTCAGCAAGGTGTTATCCGTGGAATATCCGTAAGTGTTATATCGACTAATTAACAACAATTTTATCTTTTATAATTTTGTTCCATGTCTTTTGATTTTGAACTTGCTTGTGATTATTTATATGCGAACAGGGTGGCATGTGCGCGGTCTTTTTACCTGTGGAAGATAGAGTAGTGAACTTGGTCTGCGAAGAACTAGAGCCAGTAGTTCCATCGCGAGGCGACCGGGTGAAAGTAATCATCGGAGAAGACAGAGAAGCAGTGGGCACGTTGCTCTCTATAGACAATCAAGAAGGTGTAGTGAAATTGAGTAAGGACGAAGTGAAGATGTTACACTTGCGATTTTTGTGCAAAATGAAGGCGCCAAACACATAATTCTTCATTCCAAGACAATCTTCTATTCAGTGAAAGTTTATAAAGACAATTTTGATGGCGAGAATAAATTTAAAAGATTTTTAATGGGAACCCTACAGACAGCATTAACACTGACGATTTTATGTTATACGATGTTACGACGATTTTTTCTTATATTGGAAAGTAGCACTCATATCATGTACAATAAATAATTATTATTGTAAAGGCTTTTCTAACATTTTAATTTTTCCCCAAGATGCTACAAAACCTATATGGAGGGATGAGTTGTATGGATAGATATAGATACTCAATTTTATGTAAAATATATTACCAATTGTTATACAATGTAAAATTTAATATTAATGTAAGCACAACTTTAGATATTAAAATAAATGGAATAATTTAATTTTGATTGAAGTTAAATTATTCATTATACCTATCAGAAGCTTATACACTTAAAATTATTCACTAATCAACAGCTGTTAATCTGAAATCAGCCGCGTAACAAATGAGAGAAAGCTGTGACGAAATGATTAGGGAAAACTCGAGAGATCAATATAAATTTTCCAAGGGAAATTTCTTCAAGGGAAAATCGTACTAATCGGGATTTACCGATTGGAGTATGAGATCATGTTTCCTATGGTTATTTCCGGTGTTTGTTGCAACTACTCTCGTTAAGATAGAAAGGTACATAATTATAAACATCATACTACAGTTTATCTGAGATATTTACAATTAATATATTAAAATGATATTATTATTAATTAACAGTCTGAAACTAAAATTAATATCAATTTTTTTTTAAACATATGTTTCATTTGCTTATTGTTGCGAATGTTAGGGTGATGGGTGCCAATAATTTCAAACATGAACAAAACATTGGTACGGTATTATTTGAGAAAAGCGACGCTACTAAACATTGCTGGACTACGGAGGAATTTATTATTTTGAATAGTCGACGAATGTTTCAAGATCTGTTACCAAAGGTAAACTCACCCTAACCTTACTTTACACATTATCGATGAAAGAGATACGAAGCAGTTTTAAATAATACAATATGGATTTATTCGTGTTATTAATAAATTAATAAATGTATTAAAAATCGTAAGATTTTCGACAAAATCGATGTTACGATCCGCTTTAAAAAAAAAAGCTCCATCGCATCGATCCCTCTACGAAATAACATCCATTCTCCTCCTTCCCCCATTCATGCTTGCACTGATTCCTCAGGTGAAAGTCCTAAATTATGAGAACGACCGATACATCGCACTGCTGATGGATTACTTTCATCTTTGTTTGGAGAGCGTGCGTAAACTGTCGATAGGAAAAACGAAGCACCTGATGCTGAAAGCCCTGGCGGATACGATGGGCGGCTACTTGCAGGTTTACATTCTACCTCTCACCAGGCATTCCTACTACGCGGGCAACATAAAGTATCGAAACGCTCGAAAATTGTTCGAACTGTACGAACAACTGAAAGTCTTTTTACGAAGTAACGGCGCTGGCTGGTTGAATCCCTCAAAAGAGATAAAACAGACGAAAATTTCACCGATCGTGATCACGTTGCCGAGAACTTCGATCGCGTGCGACGGCATTATTACTTACTCTGCATGTAAGAATATGACTATTGCCTTTCGTAAAGTATTCATAGGTATTCAATATTGAATGCCTCGATCGAATGTTCAGGGAAAATTGTTCTGTTTGTGGGTGGAATGGGAAGTAGATAAGTTGCTATGTAACTAAAGTGAAAAGTGATCTCTTTGACAGATTCATTATTTATTTATTTATTTATTTATTTTAGCTTCGATTGGCAACAAATGGGAGATAAAACGTTTCACATTCAAGCAGAAAAAGAAACACGCTCCGAGGCACAAAACTAAAAGTACAAGTTCTAGTGAGTTCGTTGAAATTAAGACAAGGTCCAAACACCATTCAGTATTGGAGGAATAATTTTTTTCAAATATATTTAGGGCAGAAAGACGAATCTGATCGAAGCGAAGAATCGATCATCATCCCCCTTCCTTTCCTGGACGACGACACACAGCCAAATAGGTATCGACCAATCGAACCACTTTTGTTTCACAAGTAGCATAAACACGAGATTAAAGCAAAACTTTTCTTCAGTATCGCGTTACCTTTTAAGAAGAACACGTTGCAGTCTCTGTACAGTGAACGATCGATTTTTGCATTGGTTAAATATTACATAGCTAGCGTGAAGTGCATCGTTTCAAAGTCGAAAGCAAAAACCGAGCTGGAGACCTTTAATCAGGAGTTTTACAATTGGCTGCAGCAATCCGTACGTTGTGAGTCGCTGTGATCGAAAGTGGCAATTTTTCATCATATGTTACAAGAAACTTTTTGTTCGAAAATTATTTCACAGCAATGATTAACGGTGCAACTTTATGTTATTCTCCCAATTCAAATACAGCGGATCCTCGATTATTTTCTACCAATTCTTTTTTCAAAGCTCCAAATTTTCTATTAATTAATGCTCTGAAACTCGATAATCGTTGCTCTGACAATTGAGATTTTATCGTATCTTTATTTCATTCTACACTGCTGAAACTCTATCGACAATCGTCAGGTGACTGTCATTGCCTTTCCAGGTGCAACGGCATCTCGATGACGAAAAATGGTATCCGGCGTTCGGCGGTGTATTAAGGGTGATCGCCTCACTGGAAGAAGCTGGTACATCTTTTCCTTATTCGCGATTTTCCAGCGCATGTTCCCCGTAACCGATCGTTTTTCCATGCCAGGCGCTGGAACCGGTCCCACGAAAGGCGGAAAAAGCGGAATCTATCAAGTGATGCCCAAAATAGGCGTGGAATCAACGGTTGAACCTGAGGAAGCTGTACTGCCTCTGTACAAAGGTGAGGAGAGAAAGCGGTACTCCAGTTGCCATCGAATTTTTCTATTGGCCTTTGCTTTCTAATGTTACCTCGGTCCTTCGTTTAGAAGAGGAAACAGGAGTCACGCTGGGAACGACGGAATTAATATCGATTGCAGTGGTGAGCGCGTTGCTAGTCTGGTTACTGGTGGGCTTGAGCGTGGTCTGTTATAGATTCCTCATGAAACACACGGACGAGTCTGTCCCCTGTGAACCGCAGGATCCTCCGTACGTTGCAGAATAAACGTTTTCTTTTCTGTATTGAAGGAAAAGATACGATTTGAAAAATTTTATTAAAATACGTATATTACAATACTTAATATACTGTACAATAATAAATTATACTTTTTGATTGTTAAATTAAATTCAGAGTAGCTGTTCTGTACGACAATAAGGAATATTGCGAAGCAGATACATGCGTAGCGCAAACGCCTCACAAAAGGTTGTTGGAAAGAATGAAGGATTGTTGGAAGAACAAATTTGGCAAATGTCGCGCAGGTTGTCAGGATCGTATGGACGAGGAACGTTGTTTAGCCGCAATTAGTTATACTAGCAAAGATACGGTCGACGTTAGCAATAGCAGCAGAAGTTATCAGTGAGTGTTTTGACATTTGTCGATTAATCAATTTAGAAAACCAATTTCCTTCGTGTAACTGTATGTCCTACTAAGTAAATTTAATTTCATAGATTATTTGATTATTTGATATCTAAAGACTGTTGATCTAAATAATCTAAAATAATTGAACTTCGAACGATTATATCATCTATTTTTTTCTTCAGGAAAAGAAAAATGACCAAATCGGTGTCAGCGACTTTATCATCTCATCGAAAGGAACGTGTGCCCATCAAAGTACGTAACTTATTCGTCACTAACTATGTTGGATGAGATGCGATATTAAATTCAATTGAATTATTACAGAAAGTTTATTATAGTTCGGATGGCTCGTTAACCACGAATACCGAGAGTCCTCGCAAACCAAGACAATGAAAGATTACAAGTTTTCATTTATCTTTTAATATCGGTATATTTTTTTAGCATATACGATAAATACACCCACCTACGAGCAAAGCTGCCCTTTCTCATTGCTGCCATTTTTTACAATTTTAAAATATAAAATTACCAAAATACAATTTAGTTAATTTCTACCAAGTTTAGCGACTTTTAATGTTCCTAATGTGCTATTTAAATAAAAAGAAATGCTAGATTTCATATTCCTCATAATACGGAGCCAATCTGGAACAAAATCAAAAAAGGTAGAGCGAGATAGGCAAAATTAGAAAATTAGAAATTTATCTAATGTTTCTACAAAGAAGATAAACGAAAGGATTCGAAGTTCTCTCGTGCTGAAAAATGGAGTGCAGAACCACCCTGTAGTCATAGGGACCGCGAGGGACGGCCGTTTTAAATTTTATTAGAGCCGCGTTCGACGGAGATGGCTCGCAGTTGATTGTACTTCGTTATGCCGACCGCGTACGTGCGACTTCAACGAATGCACGTTTTCAAAGCGTGCAACTCCGAGAGCCACGCGCTGCAACTTGTTGCAACCGAGCCGCGGAGTCGAATGCCGACGTCTCCCGGTTTATCAAACGCGTTGCGGCGGCAGCGCCATCTGAGCTCGCGAGCCACGTCGTGTCGAACCACGGCGAGCAGGCCAGTGTCGCGCGATACGTTCAAGGGTAAAGATATTTCGCGTTATCCTCTCGATGTGTTCGCGATTCTCCGCTGTCACAGTTGTCTCAGACCGGCAAATCTTTCGCGCCGTGTGACGTAATTGAACTTTACGACACATTTTCCAGCTCGTGCTCGACAATACTCGCTCGTCGAACGATTCGAACCGAACGAGTGTTCGAATTTTATTATTAATTGGACGCGGAAGGACACGTGCGTCCAAAATTCTCTGTTTTAATTCACGCATCCTGTTTCTACTCGATTGTTCGAGTAAAGATCGGTGCTTTTAACGCTTGCAGCAATGCGAGGGTGAGCCAGGAGAGGGCAAAATTTTCGGCGCGAAATCGCGTTCCACCGTCCATAGAAACGATGCGAATTGGACCGTTTCGCGCGTTCAAGCGAGTTATTGGTTAATTTCAAATAAATCGTCGCGAGGTGTCGCTCGCGCGGAGGGGGGGAGTGATCGAATCAGTAGTTTGAAACTCTCGGGCGGAAGTTTTTGCTCGCGTCTCAAACTTTCTTCGTGTCTAGTTAGTTCTTCAACGATTCACGAACGATCGTCGCGTTTCAACTGTTACGTTTTCGTCGACCGTGAACGACGAAACGAGGCGTCTTCAAATTCTCGCGTAGGCGCGTAAACGAACGAACTAACCTTGTTAAACTGACGCTGTTAAAAGGTCTCGCGGAACGCGACGGTTTTTTTCTTCTCGGTGGTTCACGTGAATTGAAACTCAGTCATTGGGGGGAAAAGTGCGGGGATGTCGCGCAGTTGAGTCAATTCCGAGAAAGACTGTCGAGCCGTTTTGCGTGCAAACTGTTGGTTGCACGGTTGGGACTAGTTTCGATCAGTGAACGATGCGTATCGCGGATAGATTCTCAACTGGCGTTTCGCGCGTCCGTAATTGACTGTGGTGCTGTGTGGTGTGCTCTCCTCTTTAAGGACACGATGGGACGACGAAGCTGCGGAAAACTGCGCCTACTGTTCGTCGTGATACTCCTCGCAGCCGTTTCAAAAGGTGAGCGACGATTTTTCTGTAATTCTCTATAGTTTTGTATTTAATTGCGAACTTCGAACGTGTTCGACGTGGCTTTCGAGAATGAGACAGTTCGAAGACCGCAGCGGAGAAACGTGATAAATCTTCCGTCGTTTTTTTCTTCGCTGTGTCTTTTATATTTTGTTACAAGATAATGTTCAGATCAAAAAAATCAACGAAATTACGAAAATACGCGAAATGCAGTTTTAGACGTTGAAATTGATATATGAGTCGTTTATCTCGAAAGTAGCACAAGTCACTTTCTCCCCCCCCCCCCCTCCAAAAAAGTCGATAGTCGGATTAATTCTACAATTCTATAAATTCTAATTCATTTAACTTTAAAACAATTTGCAAAAGTCAATGTGTCAGAAACCATCGAGATGGTTCAATGTGTTGATGGAAGTTTAGGCAAGTAACGAAATGACGGACAGGTTTGGACACGAATATCTTCCAACACCTCGATTTGTAAACAAGGTGACTTGTGCCACTTAGAAAACAAACGGCTCGTGACAAATGAAATGAAAAATTCCCAGTGTCCGAATGTTGCTGCGCAACATGAAAGCGTCGTTTTGACTTATTTTTTTCGGGGTTCGAGTTTCGCTCGAATATGAAAAGCACGAGAATGGGAGTGATATATTTTCTTTGTGTAAACGAAAAAAGCTTCAAAGGCAGGGCAGGGCAAGGCCACGGTGATTGTGCACACTTTTCACAAAGTGACCGTGGTGTTTGCATTGGTACGACACATGAAAAGCGACGAAGAACGCAATAAGGAAGGGATTCCAAAACACATATTTATCCAGGCTGTTTGTATCGGGGGCATCACAATATGCTGCCTGTGAATTCCATTGTTTTTTTTTTTTTTTTTTGGTCTCATTCTGAATGCCAACCCGTCGTTATTATTTCTCCGCTAATGAACGAAACCAGAAATTTTCTCTCCTTCTTTTCTTTTTTTTTTTTTGTACTTATACATTGCGTTCGATTTTTGCTTTATTGAGAGCTTGCTGAGATAAAGCTTTCCTTATTTTGTGAAGCGATCTTTGTCACTCGCCTGTTTAATTAAAAAGTCGGACTAACGAAATATTATCCAACTGTTGTTATTATTACGTGTATCAGCAACCTTATGGAAGTCTCAAAGTAAAGAATTTAGTTAAATCAACGCAGAGATAAGAATTTAATAATGAAGAATAAAAGATAATATTTAGCCAATAGTTGTTGCTCCGTTATGTACAAGTACGAGAAATTCTGTTTCCCTCGGAGTCATTCGTCGTACTTTGCCCATAGAAAAAGAAAGATAATATCAATTCATGGGCCACTATTGATAGAAATTACAGAGACAGCCCGGTTTGCTCTGGCGTATCAATTTAATCGAGCAACGAAGGGATCAACGCGCGTACGCGGTGGGAATTTCGAAATCTCCATTCGGCAGACACTTTGGTCAAACGCAACTTTTTTTGTTTGCACTTGCAAACAGAGAACGCAGCATTTTATTTCGCGAGCGAACTCGGCGCGCACTTTCTGGCCAAATCGAATCTACGAACCATGCGTCTCTAACGGATGTGAAAGAAGGGTAGAGTAGGAGTACAGGGGGTGAAGGAAAAAAAAAGAGAGCTGGATATTTACGTCTCCTCGAAAATAAATACCAATGCGTGCCTCGAAACGCGAGTTCCCGCGTTTCCCGGTCGCCTGACCGTTTTTCAGCCGCCGTTGGAAAAAACTAAAAAAGGTGGAGAAGGACGAAGGTTGAGGGGGAGGGGGGAGGTGAAAGAGGGATGGAAAAGAGGCAAAGCAAGCCCGCGCTGAAATTCGAATGGAAAAAACGTCGACGGGCAGGGTTCATTTCGCTCTGGTCGTCGTTTCGAATCCCATTCCGAAACCCGATCTCATTCTGGACACGCGTGATCCGGATTAGAAACGTCCGGTTCCTCTTGTTTTTTGATTACCCGGCTCGTTTTGTCGCGCGCGGAAGTTCGAAATCGAAGATGAGCCGACGAAATACCATGCAAATTCCCACTCCCCCCCCCCCTCTCTCGTTTTCACGTTTCGATAATCTCTTTTCCTTTTGTCTCTCGGCGAGTAATTTTTAGACCGATATTCGAGGGGGATGGCGAGTAGGAAAGCTTTGCTTCGTTCTTTTTCTGTTTTGTTTTTTAAATTTCTTTCGCTATTTTTCCCTCGCGATGTTTGCGCGGCTGAATATTTAGACAAATAGAGTTAAAAAGGCAAGGATATTATATATATATATATATATATAAATGGGATTCGAGCGAAAAAAGAGTGGTAGAAAAGCTATCCTACTTTTATTCCTGTGCCTGGTATTTTTCTGATGTTTGCAACGGTGTATATTTCACGGCAAATAGCGAAAAAGGAACAACATTGTATTTGGAATATGGAATCTCGGAAAAACTTTGGAAATTTGATTCCTCTCCCCATTGTCATTTTTAACATATTCCCGATATCTGGTAGTAGAGTGAAATTGGAAGGAAATTTCGAAACTTTGTTTCCCCTGATTTTTCCAATCCTTTCTTGGATTACTCGTCCGACAAATGTTCGGACCCGGTATATACAGTGGGGTGCAAAATTGAGTCAATGATAAAAATTTTTGAGAAAAATATTTTTTATTGTTAAATAAAGTATGAAAACATGAAAATAAACTTGACTATCTGATTCTTTATAGTTTCAGGAAACTGAAGCTATTTTTTAACTTTTAAGATTAGGTTTCTTCCTGGCTGAAAAAATTAAAAAACGTAGAATCAATTTTGCACCACAATTTTTTCATGGTCAGATTTACAAGCTTTATCATACCTTAATATTTTCTCCATAAACCATTTGCTTAGATAATAGCTCTAATACGTCTTGGCACACTTTCAAACAGTCTTGAGCAGAAATCAGGTGGCATTTGATTCCACTGTTCTATAACACGAGCATGTAGTTCCAGTACTGAGCTAGGAGGAGATTTGTCTAAAATTTTTTTTTTTTCAATATACCCCATAGATTTTCGATGAGGTTTAGGTCGGGGCTTCGTGCAGGCCAATTTAAGATCGAAAATGAGTAGTCAGCTAATTAGTTACGCTTTCCGCTGTATGTTTCGGGTCCGGATCATGTTGAAAAACGATTTCTTCTACAACGAAGGGCATATCTTGCATACAATTTGGCAAATGTTTCTTTTAAAATGTCTTTATACATATATTGATTCATAATCCCTTCAATTTTATGCAATGGGTCAATCACCATCTGCCGTCATACACCCTTACAACATATGTATGCATATATACGTATATACGCGTAATATTTTTCTCAAAAATTTTTGTTATTGACTCAATTTTGCGCCCCACTGTATCTTCTCGAATCC